AAGGCGGCAACCGGCCCCCTTTGAGGCCTTCGTAGCAAATGTCCCTGAGCATCCTCATGCATGAAAGGAGCTCTACATTTTGGGAACTAACCTGCCTGAACATACCCCTGAAATTAAACACTGAGGTTTGCAAAAAAGCCTCTTCTAAACTATTTTAAGAAGACCTTGGGTATTACCCAACTTCCCTCTCTGATTCACTTGACTCAATTGTCACTCATACCATGGAGAAAGAACCTAAAATATTCTCTCATTTACTCTTCACAAGAAGCTTCATTTTACCAATGAAGAAAAGAAAGTTTTGGCATATTGAAGATATTTCTTAAGATGACTTACCTGGCAAGTTGGCAAAACCTTAATGCGAACCCTGGTCTGTGGAGCTCCAGAGCCAGTGCCTTATTCTTATTGCTCGTTACAAATACATGACCTACTGTGGTTTGGGGGTCTGTTTACAGTGTTGGTGCCGGGACTTCCACATCCACCACCTCACTGGGTGTCAAGGCTCTGAGCTCCTTGGCTTGGGCTTAAGAGTGTCCCTGGAAGAAGTCCTAATGGTCTCCATGTGGGACGAGTCAGATTGGGATGGAGCAAAGGCTCAGGACTCTAATGGCCTTGACCTCTGTTGGATGCCCCTGGCCACGGTGCTGGCTGCTGGCAAAGGGAAGAGTGGACCAAAGGGAAGGCATCTCGCACTGGGCCCTGGGATGAGGATGGGTGATATTTACTGGAATGATATCTGAACAGTCTGCAGAGGTTGATTCAGCTCACAAACAACTCTTGGGTGCTCATGCCTGCTCGTGTGGCCCCTTCAAGACCAGCGACACTCTATGCTGTTGCTATTCAAAGTACACAGCTTTGTTATCACCCGAGATTTGGGTAGAAATGCAAAATCTCGGGCTCCAACCCAAACCCCATGAATCAGTGTTTGCATTTTAATCAGATTGCTAAGTGATTGGTATGCACGTTACAGTTGAGAAGGACTTCCATGTGTTACTTGTATACCAAGCTTGAGACAGAAGAAATCCTTGTGAGACTGACTGTGGTCTCATCACTATGAGCCGTGTGACAAGCGGTCAGTCTAGCTGCCAACCTAAGTCTGCCTGGTAGACAGAAGGCCGCTTCCTCTGCTTGGGAACCATCACCCTTTTATTGCCATCACCGGTCCCTCTTTCTAGTCTGGGTGGACTGTAGCCTCTTTATAAGATTTGTCCCAGACATTTTATCTATCCTCACTTAGGTTCACTAAGGGCTTAAATTCTTTTGGAACAGAAGAGCCTGAGAGTCTAGAAACCTATTTCTACCTCGCCTCAACATTGAGCTCAAGCGATTTAACAGAACCAACTCTCTACTTGAATGAGGAAAAAGAGAAAGAAGGAAATGGCAGCAGGGAGGGGAACATTGATTAATTTATCAAAAAGTATTCTACCAGGCTTTGCGTCTGATGCGTGTGTTTGAAGCATGTTCTCAGTACTATGGTTCTGTTCATGTTCTTGCAGTTTGCAGATACCAAGAAAGTAAAGCCTGTGTCTGCTTTCTACCCCGCATCCACAGAGATGTGAGAGACATATCTGGGTAACTGTGGTGAACTCAAAACTTGTCTGGCTTTGAGATTATTCAACCAGGAAATAGGCAAATGTCCCTGCACTCTGAGCACGTGATGAAGCAGCCCAGCCCAGAGGTGGCGGTGAGAGCCTGACGCCAGCCCGCTCACTCACTGCTGGGCGCTGCTGGGCAAGCTCCTCACCCCCTCACCTTGTGCTTGTGGGCGAGCACAGTGCATCATACCTACCGGGGAGGGTCTTTATGAGTATTAAGTGAGAAATGCATGCGAATATCACTGCAGTCATTGCCATATGGTGTGCCTAATGCGGCTGAGCTTCTCTTGTTATTTCTGAATTACTACCCATGAAATGCTGATTTCCCCCCCGGCAACTGGAACTCTATGAAAGATTTTTATCTAGACCTTTAGTGTTGAAAATTATTATATAAAAATTTAATTAAGCGTTAACTGTGTGCCACATGCTCTTATATTATCATGCATATTCCTCGCAACTCTCATGAACCAGTTTCTATTTTATCTTCCTCTTTTATCTAATCGCCAAACCTATCTCCTCTTTTCCTGGACACACAGCTTTCCTGGCACTGCCTCCCTTGCACCGTGGTGTGGCCGTGACTCAGTGGAGTGGAAAGTGAGAGGAGAAGACTTCACTGCTTCCAGGGTTCGCCCATCAGTACCCACTGTGGCCACCTGGTGCTCTTTCCTCTCCTGTGGACACCTGAGGTCTATACGTTGAAGAGGGAGGAGCCACAGGATGGAAGGAGCCTGGGTTTATCTCCTCTTAAAGGAAAGCCGCCAGCAGAATAGAAATAACCATTTGAGGTTTTATATGAGCGAGAAGTGAATGCCTGTTGCATTAAGTTTCTGACATGTATGTGTTACAGTCGCTAATCTGACCTTAATTAATTCACTGAAGAGGTTGAGTAGTTCACCTGAGTCCATACACCTTATAACTGGGAACCAAGTAGTCCCGGTCTCCAAAGCCTGTGTTTTCAATCACTAAACTCTACGGGCATCAAGCTTCACTGTGAGAACACCAAAGAGTGGCTCGATTTTAGCCACCCACCAAATTATGCAGTATAATAAATGCTAGGAGGGGACAAGGCTGAATCTAGGCACACTGAGCTGCATCGTTGCAGGAAGCAAGTGAATCAGCCAATTCACAAGCCCTGGTCGTTCCCACAGCTGCCATCACATGCTCTCTGGCAGTGCCAGTTTATTAAGGAAACAATTTTGCCTCAAGGACTGTCATTGATTTTCTGAAGTCTGTTGTCAGTTTTACTTCTGTCTCTGTGGGGTATTGAACCAGTGACTTATATGCTTGGAGCCTCTAATGAAGTTGGTAATGGTCTTATAAACTCTCCTCGGGACTCTCACACCTCTAATTGAGAATCAAGCATGAGATTGGACAGAGCCCAGGAAATATTCTCCAAGTGCATGCTCCTGGTGGCAACTGTTTGCTCAGAAGGCTCCCAGGGCCCCATCTTCACCGGAGACTTAAGGAATTAGGGCAGGCCTAATTCTACCTGGTTAAGCAGAAGCTCTATATTCAAGGAGGGAAGCAACAATAATATATATATAAAATATATATATAAAATATATTACTGTAATGTTAAGCAACAACAATAAACACCTGGCACGTTGCTGACAAAAAGTGTCTTTAAACGTACAGTTTCAGCGGCCCAGGAGTACAGGCGTTGAGATGATTTTACTGATGAGATTACTAAGGATCAGTGAAGTTAAGTAACTTAGCCACAGCAGAATAAAAGGAGGTATAAACATTGGCCTCTTAACTCCAAATCCATCATAAAACTACGGCAGCTCTGCGTGTATAAATTCTCAAGGATCCTAGTAAGTTTGCAGTGATGCAAATGGATGGGGCTGACTGTCGCACTGTTTCGCACGACGGAAGCTGACCTCTACCCCGAATAATTACAGCCTGCGTCAAGAATGTGCTCAGGCACCCCCCTGCCCTCCCCCCAGCCCACTCAGGAGCAGTGCTCTCTGCCTGCCTCTGCCGGACCCGGTCCCTGCAGACCTGCCCGGTGCCCCTGGCTCTCTCTGTGTTCTTTGGCTTGTGCAGCAGTCGATATGGCTTGAGGAAGCAGAACTCTTCCAGGCTCCGACCTTCTCCCTTCTGCGTAAGCCTTGGCCAACTAAAGCCGAGGGAAGGAACCTGGGCAGAGGGCAAGGCGGCTGTCTCTGCTCTGCAGCCCTCTCCAAGGCACAGCCCAGGAATATTTACACATTCGAAGGGAACATCAGGTTTGTTATTTTCGAAAGACTCATTACCACCAGTCCCATCTCCTCAGAGCTGAACTGTGAATCTCTCTTCCCACCTCACCACAGAATATAGTTGAAAAAAAAAACACCCAGAGATGGGCTAAAAATACCTGAGCCAAATTCAGTGTTTCTGTGAAAGGGCTGAGCACACCAGTGACACGCATGGCAAAGACAGCGCCAACGTTATACGCAGCGAGTCACATCTTGATGAGTTAATTGCTCTAATTGAACATTAAGTGCAGTGGAGGAAGAGGGTATGTTAATACATGAGACTTGACCTTTTCACACGTAAAATAAAACTGCAAATAGAGATTTTACATCTTATGAAAACTTTGTGCAAAGATAACTTTTAAGGAGAAAAAGAACTGCTCAGATTTGCAGATGAGGATGCCTTATGAATAAAAAAATCATATTCCCCCAGTTTTAAAAGAAACAAGAAAGCCTATTTAGCATAGTCCTGCGCTCTTCTTATTTAGCATGAGCTAGAGAAAAGAGTAGGTCTCCTAGAATCAGGAGGACTAAAATTATAAATCCCCCTTCCCCTCTTACTAGTTCATGTGGTCATGGCCAAGTTTATTAACCTCTCAGTCTTGGCTTCCATATATGTAACATTGAGAATAATGCCTATTCCTCCTGGGCTGTTTTGAAAATTAAATGAAGTGATACAAACACACACAGAGGATGGACTCATTCCTAGCCCATAATAGGTGTTAGATAAACGTTGGGTCCCTCTTCACCCTACACTGCAGTGGGCAGAATCAAAAAAATGGGTAGAACAAAGGAAAAGAAAATAGAGAGACACCAGGATGTAGGACAGAAGGACATTTTGAAATTTGGCAAAAGGCTGGTCAAAAGATTGATATTGAAAGCAAGAGGAAAACAGGAAAAATGTTTCTGTTCCTCAAAGTTCTTCAAACATAAAACATAAAAAAACAAAAACATAATGAAATTAATTCTGTTCTTCAGCAGGTTATAACTAAAGGCAAGAAAAGAACAGGGATCTACAAAACAGGTAATATTAACTTCCTAGACCAAATACATGTCCATTTTGCTTTGAAAAAGTAGTGTGTTAGTGTGCATATGCACCAATATTTAAATCATAAAAATCTGATAATAATGGAAACATTCAAAATCAGTCAAGTGGAAAAAATAAAATTCTTACTTCAGTTGTTGTTGGCTTAGGAAAAGCCATCTTGGCTAGCGGCCTTGGTTGTCCACCCGAGTGAGTGCCATGCAGGATCGGCAGGGTCTAGGACACACGAGAGCAGCAAGGTCAAGTGCTCTGCCCACCTAAACAGGAAACTGGGGCATTGCTGAGGGATTTGGAGGGACAGGTGCAGGAGAGGAGAGAAGACACAAGGTGACATTATAAAGAACACAATGGTCAACAAAAACATTCTGGTGGTGACATTGGCTGAGGGATTTTTAAGATCTGAGATGCCTAAGAGGACATGCCATACTGTGTGCTGGGCTGTATTACCTCCAACCTTTTGAAAAAATCTATTCTACCCATTGTCTTCTGACAGCAGGTGCTATGTAGAAATAAATGAGCACAGAGTTCCATTTTACAACCTGTTTGCTTTTTGATGATTTTTTTAAAGAGGGCAGTTCAAGCAGAATGACGCAGAAAGGAACAAAAATGTGTTGAAGTAAAAAAAATGGAGCAAGATGCGACCAGGAGATAAGAACCCCTGAGAACTGGATCCGTGTTCATCATGGGCGGGCGAGGGGCTTGTGTCAAGTCCCTAACACCAGCCCTAGGTTCAGTGTTTCGCTAGAAGGGTTCTCAGAACTCCGCATATAGTTGTACTCACAGCTATGATTTATTGCAACAAAAAGCTATAAAACAAAATCAGCAAAGGAAAAGGAATATAGGGTAAAGTCTAAAAGAAGCCAAGCTCCCAAGACACCTCTTCCAGTGGAATCACAAAGGATGTGCTTAATTCCTCCAGTGACAAGCCATGACAACACGCGTGAGATGTTGTCTGCCAGGGAAGCTCATTAGAGCCTCGCTGTCCGAGGTTTTTATTGGAGGCTGGACATGTAGGCACCTTTTGCCTGCATATATGGAAATTCCAGACTTTCAGAAGGAAAGGAGGTGTTTGAACAGTGTAGACACAGTAAGTCCAAGTCATCGGTTGCCAGTCAAGGACCAACCTTGCAAGCAGACTCTCTGAGGATAGAAGACTCAGGCCTGCTGTGTTAATGCTTTTCTGCACAGAGCTCAAGACAGATCTTGAAATATTTTGAGAGAAGCATAACCCTCAAATCCTGGAGGACTAAAGATTCCAAGTGTCTCATATCTGGGTTACACTAACAGTGTTATAGCACTTTATACTATAATAGGTACTTTTTATATGTACACTGTTTAATCTTTACAACAATACTGAGGAGTAAGCATTATCATTTCACAGATGGGGAATCTGGGGCTCATTGATTGCGGTCTAATAACATTCTTATGACCTCACGTTCAGGGTGTCATGGCACTGTGCTTCAAACTCAGATGTTTGGACTCTGGGCTCAGCAAGCACAGTTCGCACTAATTCACATGCCTACACCATTCCTCAGCTTGTGGCTCGAACTCCAGTCCTCCCCTCTAACCCACTCCTCCAGGAACATCCCCTGTTCACACCAGCCTAAATCCAATAATGAGACTGGCAGATTGTATTTCTGAAAAATGACAACAAAATATTTCTAGTTCTACTTTCTCTTCCAGATCCTTGCCACGCTCCCAAGGCGTGAAGCCGACTTCTTCCGCCCTTGTACCTGGTCCGCCTTTATGACTGGCTCAGCAAGCAGAACGTGACACTGTACGGCACAGCTGCCGAGGCTGGTAGTTAAAGGCTATACAGCCTCCCCTGGCATGGGTGGGCTCTCTCTCACTCTCTCTCTCTCTGTCCCTTCTCTTTCTCTCTCCATGCACCTGGCAGTCTGAGCTAAGGAATACAATGTGCAGCTACCCTGGAGCAATCACGCCAGAAATACCACGTGGAAAGAGCACACAAGGGTAGACAGACCCCTGGAGCTTCAGCTGTTCCAGCCCCAGCCTTCCAGTCGCCCCTGCTGACGCCCAGTGGGACAGAAACAAACCGTCCCCACCACGCCTTGTCCACATTACAGACTCACAAGCAAAGTAAATGCTGCTCTTGTTTTAAGCCACTTATGTTGTTTAAGTTTTGGTGTGGCTTCACACACCAAAACTTAATGCATCAAAAGATAACAAACAGTAATACTGATAGGACAAGAGATATACAAATATGAGAGAAAGTGGGCATTTAGATATATTCTTAAAGAAAAAATTCAAATATATATAAGCATTCATAATTGTTAAGATATGTTATATTTCCATTATAAATCTAATCTTTTCCAGCTAAAATTTTTTCTGATATAGTAAACATAATGCCAGTCAGCAACATTATAAGAAACTTGAAATCTTAAAAATACGTGTAAATTCTAAGCTTTTTGTATGACTTAGGGAGAAATTATTTTAATATGTTCAGACAATAAAAATCACACCTAAATAAAATTCTAATCTTTTCAAATTAAAGTGTTTCTAATATAGTAAACAATAATAATGCCAATCAGCAACATTATAAGAAACTTGAATTTTTGAAAATATGTGCAAATTTTAAACTTTTTGCATTACTTAGGAGGGAATCATTTTAATATTTTCAGATAATAAAATCATACCTAAGTAGCATCTTGTTAGTCTAGTAATAATCACCTTGCACCATGGAACTGGGCTCATGACTTCATCTAATGAAGTCGTTTACTTCCTGACAGACATTAGGTCCTTTGTTTTATTTATTTATTTATTTTTTTATTTATCTTTTTAAAAAAAATATTTTAGTTTTTTTTTTATTTTGGCATATTATGGGGGTACAGATTTTAAGGTTTCAATAAATGCCCTTTTCTTCCTCTCCCCACAAGTCTGAGTCTCCAGCATGACCATCCCCCAGATGGTCCTTTGTTTTATAACATCTGTCACAATTTAAAGGGCTGGGCCTGCTGGGGATAAAAACAAGTAGACCCTTTAAACATGAGGTCTGATCCCGGGGGAGGGGGGGGGTGAGAAGAACTAGGGACGGAGCTCCTGGTGGTCAGGTTCAGACGGAAGAGATGCGACAGGAACACTGGCTCGGAGCCAGCAAAGGGGACAGGAACAACCTCTGACGCCTCAGCAGGTGGCACCACCAGATGAGCTCCCGTGGGGGCAAAGGCAAGATGGGACGCTGACGTAGTGAGAGACTACAGAGAGCACGCGTTTGTCATCACCAAGGAGAGAAAATAAAGCGGGGCCTTCTCCTCACCCTGGAGGAGCAAAGCCACCTGCACCTCTCCAGGGAAGACACAGAGGAGCAGCGCGGCCAGAGCTGCATAAAGGTGGCTTCCCACTACTGCACAGGGCGCCACCAAGCACAGTGGCAGCATGTGACGTCTCCCGAAAACGGCCTCATGCCCTGGTGACCACCTGCACACCCAAGCACCGGGCTCTGAGGCCGCGTCTGTAAAGGGGCCTGCAGAAGGGGCCTCACATCACACTTCACTTCTCCACACTTCCCCCAGTCTCTTTAATTACAATTAAGCTCTTACAGAAACTTGGTTACCAGCAAAATTCAGGAGCGGACCACGAACTGTGGAAGCAAGAGGAAAACGTAAGTTTTCAAAACAAAAAAGAGAATTTTAATTATGCTAACAATGACAACCGTTCCTCATTTACCTTCCACCCTTAAAAACTCTCCACTCTCACCTCCTACAATATCTTACAGTCCCTAAGGATTTATAGTGTTTACACACAAATAAATATTTTTTTGGTTTTTAGGAAGAGGTTTATTTTTTCAACACTTGTTATTTTTTTATTTTTTGATAATAGCCATCCTGATGGGTGTGAAGTGCCATCTCATCTTGTTTCTTTCTTTTATTTCAGAATATTATGGGGGGCATTAGTCTACCTTCTTTTGAAAAGTTTCTGGTCATGTCTTTTGCCTGCTTTTTAATGGGGTTGTTTGATTTTTGTTGTTGTTGTTGATTTTCCTGAATCCTATATAGATTCTAGTTATCAGCCATTTATCAGATATGTAGCATGCAAATATATTCTCCCATTCTGTACCTTGTCTATTCACTCTAATGATTGTTTCCTTGGCTGTCCAGAAAGTTTTTATTTTGATCAGGTCCCATTTATTTATTTTTGTTGTTGCAGTGATTGCTTTTGGGGTCCTCCTCATAAATTCTTTGTGTAGGGTTGATGTCTATAAGAGTTTTTATAACATTTTCTTCCAAAATTCTTATAGTTTCATGCCTTAGGTTTAAGTCTGCTATCCATTGGGAGTTGATTTTTGTGAGTGATGAGAGGTGAATTCTATTTCAGTCTTCTACATGTGACTATCCAATTTTCCCAGCACCATTTACTGAATAGGGATTCTTTTACCCAGTTTATGTTTTTTTCCAGGCTCAATCATGAATAAACAGAATTCTTAGACCAATATCAAGTACTGAAATTAAAGCAGCAATAAAAAACCTTCCAACAAGATAAAGTCCTGGACTAGATGGTTTCACATTCAAATTTTACCAGACCTACAAACAAGAATTAGTACCTATCCTGCAGAAGTTATTTCATAACATTGAGAAGGAAGGAATCCTCCCCAACACATTTTACAAAGCCAACATCACCTTTATACCAAAGCCAGGAAAGGACTCAAAAAAAAAAAAAAAAGAAAAGAAAAGAAAAGAAAACTGCAGACCAGTAACCCTTATAAATATAGAGGCAAAAATTCTCAATAAAATCCTAGCAAACTGAATTTATTTGCTCATCAATAATAATAATAATTCATCATGACCTAGTGGGCTTCATTCCAGAGATGCAGGGATGGCTCAACATACACAAATCTATAAATATAGTTTGCCACATAAATAGAAGTAAAAATAAAGACCATATGATCCTCTCAATAGATGTAGAAAAAGCACTGGACAAAATTTAGCTTGCTTATATGGTAAGAACACTTAACAAAACAGGGATAGATGAAACTTTCTTCAAATGATAAAAGCCATATCCTACAAACCCACAGCCAAAATCATACTGAATGGGGAAAAATTGAAAGAATTCTTGCTTAGAACTAGAACTAGACAAGGTTGCCCTCTATCACCAATTCTACTCAACATAGTGCTGGACATCCTAGCCAGAGCAATAAGATAAGAGAAGGAAAGCAAGGGTATACAAATGAGGGCAGCAGAAGTCAAACTATTGCTCTTTGAAAATGATATAATCTTATATCTAGAAAACCCCAAAGATTCTGACAAGAGACTACTGGAATTGATAAGTAAATTCAGCA